TCTGCCTACTCGGGGCGCCTTGGCTCCGAGCTGCCCACAGCTTTGTCCTCTGTCCTCAGTGGGAGGAGATCAGCGGCGTGGACGAGCACGACCGTCCCATCCGCACGTACCAGGTGTGCAACGTGCTGGAGCCCAACCAGGACAACTGGCTGCAGACGGGCTGGATCGGCCGCGGCCGCGGGCAGCGCATCTTCGTGGAGCTGCAGTTCACGCTGCGCGACTGCGGCAGCATCCCCGGCGCCGCGGGCACCTGCAAGGAGACCTTCAACGTCTACTACCTGGAGAGCGAGGCCGACCCGGGCCGCGGCCGGCCCCGCCCGGGCGGCAGCCGGCCCCGCAAGATCGACACCATCGCCGCGGACGAGAGCTTCACGCAGGGCGACCTGGGCGAGCGCAAGATGAAACTGAACACGGAGGTGCGCGAGCTCGGCCCGCTCAGCCGGCGGGGCTTCCACCTGGCCTTCCAGGACGTGGGCGCGTGCGTGGCGCTGGTGTCCGTGCGCGTCTACTACAAGCAGTGCCGCGCCACCGTGCGGGGCCTGGCGGCGTTCCCGGCCACCGCGGCCGAGAGCGCCTTCTCCACGCTGGTGGAGGTGACCGGAACGTGCGTGGCGCACTCGGAAGGGGTGCCCGGCAGCCCCCCGCGCATGCACTGCGGGGCCGACGGCGAGTGGCTGNCGTGGGCCGCTGCAGCTGCAGTGCGGGATTCCAGGAACGCGGCGACGTCTGTGAAGGTACCCAGCCCACGAGGGGGTGTGGCGCGGGAGTGCCGCGCGCGGGGGGCAGCCGGGAGAGAGCGTGCCCCGGGCGGGCGCAAGGGGCGGGAGGCGAGCGAGCAGCCGCGGGCTGTGGCGCCAGGGAGCCCTGAGCGTGGGTTGTTTCCAGTGGCCCCGGCTAGGGCCCATGAGGGAGGCCACCAGGAGGCGAATCGGACTCCAACTAAAGGGGCCTTGGGGGCCCGTGCTTCAGACACCACGATGAGCGCCTCACAGGCCTTCTCAGTTATGCACGGCGATAAGGGAAGTCAGCATCTCTCCTTTGCAAAAGGAGATGCTCCACGCCCGTGTTCCGCCACTGGCTCAGAGGCTCAGAGAGATTAACACGCTCGCAAAATTAGGAAACGGGGCACCAGGATTGGAATCCTGATTTGCCCAACTCTCAACTTCTCTTACACCTGGTGCCTCCCCTTTGCACGGAGAGCTCTGCAGCAGCCCCACCCCACCGGCCATTGGCTAGTGGGATTGGCTACAGACCAGGGAATGGGCTGCCAGTGACAATGGGACAGCAGGCAAGTCAGAGGCTGGCAGGGGGGTGGGGGGGGATTGCCCTAGATGACTACTAATGTCCCACCCAACTCTGCACCGGAGCCACTGTACTCCCTGGGGGAGGCCCTCTGCCTCGGGGGTTCTGTGGTTTCCCAGGTGTGTGGGGGCACCGGGGACAGACCTCTCCTTCTCTTCCATGTCTGTGGCTCTGAAGACTGAGAGTAGGAATGAGGTATGGATGTGTGCCCTTCACGGAGAAAGTTAAAGTGGTTTTTTAAGCCATGCCATTTTCTGGGTGCCAGGACAACAGAAATGAATCAGGCGTAGTCTCTTAAGAAGCTCACAGCCTAAATGGAGAGACGTAAAAATCTGAAAACCACAACAGGGTGATATGCGCTCTAGTAGAGGGATTAAGATAGTGGCGGGAAGATGGGAGAAAGTGACGGAACTTGCTCCCATTTCTTCCTTCAGTGCGAATTGAGAACACAACATCTGCGTTTATTGAGGGTTTATGATAGGTGTATAATAGATAAATGACACCGTCTCTTTCCTGGGGGAACTTATGGCCTAGTAAGGGATTTGGGGACTTGAACCTTCCTGAGCTCTCCAGGTAGAGTTAGGATCCACCTCTGTGCTCTCCAGCACCCATTGCAACCTCAGTTTCTGCATGTACCTCATGGTAGGCGGTATTCTGCTTATGTGTGTTTCCACCACTGGACTAGGAACTTCTTGAGCTCAGGCAATGGGCTGTATGAGTCTCAGCAGCTCCAGTGTCCATAACAGGATATGGTGGAGATGTACCGGGTGAGTGAGTGGTTACCATGGGGTGTGATGCGTTATCACTAGAGAGCTGGGCGAGCCAGGAGAAGGGGGAACCCAATTCTAAGGGTGCCGAGAGACGGTGAGAAGGCCTTTTTCCAGGCAGCCAAGAGCATGCTGAGTTAGACCGTGTGCAGAAGCATGGAGGCGGGAGAGAATGTGGAACAGTTGGGCAGGGCGAGTCAGCGGGGCTGGAGCAGAGGGCATTTGGGGGGGAGGGGTGACAGAGCTGGAGGGGCGGGGCAAATCATGAAGGGTCTTGAGCATTGGGATGAAGAGCTTAGACTTCCTGCTTTAGACCACTGGGGAGTACTTGAAGCAGGGATCTGACATGTTCAGATCTGTATTTTCAAAAGATCAGTCAAGTGGTAATTAAAAAGAAAGGATTGGAGAAGGAAGACTTAGAGGCCAGAGGAAGGAAAATGCTGCGCTAGTCCAGGAGAAAGAGCACAAGGCAGAGCAGCGACCTCTGAGAGACGGGGCTGGTCTCGACAACGGCAGAGCATCCACAGCACTTGGTGACCGTGTGGTACAGGAGGAGAAAGGAGTCCTTCCTGGCTCACATGCCTGAATGGACAGAGGGTCATTCACTGAGGTGGAGGGCACAGGCCGTGGATGGGCATGTTGAATTTAGGGTGTCCCTGGTGCACTGAAGGGGAGGCAGCTAGAAAGTGGGTCTGGAGCTCAGCAACAGGGAGACAGGCGCTCCTGGGAACTGTGGGTGTGGCTGGCGCAGCCCCAGGAGAACGTGTGGTAAAAGAAGCCAGAGGGCCAATGACGAAGTTCCACAGAACAGCGACGCTCACGGGGAGCAGACGACAAGGAGCCCACCAGGAAGGCAGCCGTCAGAGGTTGGAGAGCGTGAGTCCATGGCAGCCACGGGAGGCGGGTGTCTGGGAGGGAGTGGCCTGCAGTGCTGGGGCGCAGTCGGGTAAGGAGAGGCCTGGCCAGCGTCTGCTCGGTGAGAGTGTCCCCGCTGAGTGATGGAGAGGGAGGCCGGCTGCGGGAGGCTGGGGGGCTGAGCGGTGAAGGAGCCGAGGAGCTGGAGTGGGACTATAAACCACTCTCCAGGTGGCTGGATCCAAAGGGCAGGAGAGGGTGCGGTCCCTTGAGGGCACCGTGTGGGGTAAGAGCGGACTTTCACTGTAGATGGAGGGCCTTGCTTATAGGATAAAGGCAGGAGCCAGGAGGGTACCAAGGAGGGGGTGGTGGGAGCAGCCTGTCTGGGGGGGGCGTATTTTATCATTGATGTGGGCTAGAATTGCTGACACATGTTGCTAATAAAAACAGATCATGTTTCAGTTAGTTTTATTGTTTTCAGACACTATATAGACAGTGCCTTACGGCCTGCACCCTAAATGGATCGCTTTTACTGCTCCGCTCCCATGTTCCGTCACTGGGAAGAGCCAGCAGAGAAGGGGCAGTGTAAGAATGCGGAGGTTAGGTGGCTGATGAAAAGTAGTCTGGGAGGAGGTGAAGGGGTGGGATCCAGAGTGAAGGACCCCCTAGGCTTGGAAGGAAGAAAGGAAGGAGAGGGAAGATGGGTGTGGAGGTGTTGGTGGGTTTGGTGGCCAGACATTGAGGGAATTACCAACTGATGGCCTCTTCTTCCTGTAAGGTGGAAGGGGGGCATCTATACCAGTGGACAGTAGGATCCTGGTCTGTTTTATTTACTGCTATATCTCCAGAGCCTAGAACGGTACCTGGCTCATGGTAGATGCTTTAAAAAAATATTGAATGAATGGATCGGGGCTGGAGGGGAAGGTTTAGATCACACCCACACCCACATCCCACGTTCAGAAACCCAATCCCACTCTGGAGCTGTGCCGAGTTCCTTCTCCTTAGGCTGACACCAAAGGCCGCTTGTAATGGCATCAGCTCTGCCTTGGGGAGTAGGGAGCTAGGGAGGATGCCAGGGAGAGCTTCACAGGGAGGCATTATTTTGAGCTGGGGTTTGGAGAAGCATAGGCGTTTGCCAGGGGAGAAGGGGTGTTAGACATTATAGGACAAGACCCAGAGGTGTGAAGGGCAGAGGTCAGTGTGGCATGGGTGGGGTGATGGCAGTAGGCAGCTGTTGCAGGGTTTTAAGAAGGGAAGTGAACTGGTCAGAATGGTATTTCGAAAGTGAAGGCCTTCTGCAGCTAAGTGCAGGTCCCTCTCTCAAGGTAGATGGATGTGGAGGGGACAGAGCAAAGGTCTTCTCTCTTCTCTTTCTCTCTTTAGTGGTCTTGACCCTTGATGCCCCTCTCCCAGCCACTAGAGGAATTATTGAAAGACTTGGGGAGAAAATCAGGGTGTATGACCTGTGTTTTCAAATCTCTGTAGGACTTCCTTGGAGCAGGGGAATCCTCGAAGATTTCTTTAAGGCTCCACAGGGCACAGAGATCCTGTGATAGGGATGGCACTGGGGGGGGGGGTACAGACAGGGAGGCCGATTGGGGCTCAAGATAAGGTGGTACTTTCTGCTGTTGCTCAGCAGAGGCAGTCTCAGAAGAGGGTGGGCTCCCCATTACAAAGTATATGAGCAAAGACTATGGCTACAGCTAAGAAAGCTGCTGGAGGACTGGGCCAGTGGAGCTAGATGACCTCTGAAATTCTGGCTATGACCTTGAGGAAGAGAAACAGGGGCCAGCAGTCAGCCCCTCAACACAAATCTCTTCTAAACAAAGCCTCGGCAGAGACAACCAATGCTGTCTCTGATGGGACCACCATCCCTGGGACACAGATGCCCACATACCTGCAGAGAAAGGGAGCCTCCAGCATTCTTTCCCTCCTGCTGTGAGACCCTGCAGACTGATCGCCTCTCTTGTTTTACAACAGAGGTGGGCAGGCCATGGTTATTTTCGTTTGACTGAGGGTTTCTTGAGAACAGAGAGACAAAGGAAGTGACAGAGCGAATGGTGGAACCCAGGACTTCTGAGTCCCAGCTGGGATTACTGCTGCTCACTAGACCACAGACCACAAAGTTAGTGGGTCCCCTGCTTCGTTCTGAGGCAGAGGCTCCAAAGGCTCCTGGGTTGCTGAGGCCCTGCCCCAATGCTGGGTTGCCCAGGATTCTAGGCAAGATGGACCCTTCGAAGCCCAAGCCTTCCCCCTCTTCTCCCAGGCAGGCTGAAAGTTCTTCCCCAAGGCTAGTCTGCATCCCTTTCTTTGTACTATGTCTTCTTGGGGCTGGAGAGCAGCCAGCCTTCCATAAATTACAGGGAAGGGACAGAGAAATCCTGGTGGAGCTAAGGAGCAAGGTGAGAACCACCCAGGCTCTGAGAGGAGGGGCCAGGAGTCACTGCTTCCTTCCCAGGCCCAGCTGGTGAGAAATTTCTTAAAGTGGGTATGTAGCAGTTTCCATTTCAGGCTTGTGATGGAGGAACAGTAATTACTACCATTATTGTGTAAATATTGGCTCTACTTGGCTAAGCAGTTTTACAATGTTTTATCTCAGTTAATCCTCTAGTTTGGAGGTATTCTGCAGAAGCCTCAGAGAGGTCAACCGACTTGTCAAAGGCCACACAGCAAATAAGTAGTGCAATTTAGCTGCAAAATAAAAAAGCCTGTGCTCTTAACCTGTGTTATGGGTGAGGTGAGAGAAACAAAGTAACTGAGGAGTCAAGAGTAGGACCTGGGCCCTAGTCGGTTTGGCTCAGTGGCTAGAGTGTTGGCCTGAGAACTGAAGGGTACAGGGTTCAGTTCCCACCTTGGCACGTACCTTATGTTGCAGGATCCATCCCCAACCCTGGTCCCAGCACGTGCAGGAGGCAACCAACCCATGTTTCTCTCCTTCTCTTCTCCCCTCCCCCCAAAGAGCAATAGAAAAAAATATCCTCAGGTGACGATTTAATTAAAAAAAGACTAGAACCTGGGAACTTTCACTGTTCCTCTCTCCACTCCCCTCCCCTCCCCTCCAGATGGCTAGCCCCACTTTCAACCTGGAATGAAGTTGAGGATTTATGATGCACTAACCCCAAACATGTGTGTGTGTCAGAGTGTTTGTGTAGCTGGGAGTGTGTGGGTGTCTGTGTGCCCCTTGGTAACTGTGGAGGCACCTCTCTTCATCAAGACTGGAGAGCTGGTCTCATTTTCTTCCAGCGGGCATTGGGGCTCTGGAACCCATCTGCTGGGGCTGGAATCCTGGCATTTACTAGCTGTGGGACATTGGTCAAGCTACTTAATCTCTCTGAGCCTTAGTGTCCTCATGCTTAAAATGGGCATCAAGCACATACCTCACAGGTCGGTGTGAGGATTAAAAGAATTACTAGAAGTAAACACTCCCTTACTAAGGGTTAGGTACTATGGGGTTGTTCAGTCGGGAGCTGCCCCCCCCCCCAGGGCAGTGCTGGAGTAGCTGAGACCCTTTCCCCCACTTTCCCCACCCCAGTTAGAGGAGATAGCCCCCACCCTAATGAGGGCAGGCAGGAAAGTGAGGGAGAAAGAAGCTGCGGGCCCCCCCTCCCATGGCACCTCCTTGCAGCCTGTCCCCCAGGGTTTTACAAGGTGTCCTCGCGGCGACCCCTCTGCTCACCATGCCCAGAGCACAGCCGGGCCCTGGAAAACGCCTCCACGTTCTGCGTGTGCCAGGACAGCTACGCGCGCTCGCCCACGGACCCGCCCTGGGCCTCCTGCACCCGTGAGTCCCCCCGCAGAACAGGGTGGGGCGGGGGCGTCAGTATAGTCGGATCGCAGTGTTGGTGAGGACGGGGGGCTCCGCCCTGGGAGGGTAGAGGCGGNGGGTGGAGGGAGGGGAGCCCCGGTGGGAATGGGGGCCAGGGCTTTGGAAGAAGCAGAAAAACAGGGGGAACCCCTACGGAGGGATGAGGCTGGGCTTCTAGGGAGATCCCCGAGAGGACGTCCCCCTCCGCCCCGACCTCACCTCGCCTCTCCAGCGAGGAGGAGGGCTCACGCCCCTCACTCCGTCCTCTGTCCCCACACCCCCACCCTCTTGCCCTCACTCACCTCTGCTCACCCCATCA